GATGGCCAGAAATGACACTCTCTGATTGTGACAGACATGTGTTGGCTTGGCATGGGCCTATTTATGTATATCTTTTAGTCCGACCGCTCGACGAGCTCTGTCCAATGGGGGGGGGGCTTGACCTGTCCGGTGGGGGCTTAAGCCCCTGCTGGCCACGCCACTGCATCAGACAGCACGAACACCAATAAAAGTATAAACACACACAAGTGTTAGACAGAAAAAAAAAATCATAAAAATGGACAGGAAATAAACCCAAGAACCTAGGACTGGAAGGCAAGCATATTGAATACAAAACAATAATAAACCATTGTCAATTTAAAAAAAAAAGAAATTCACAACATACAAATTAGTATTGCTTAGTCATTTCTCAACAATACTTTTTTTTCAGCTGATAAAACTCTAGATTTGTAAATATTTTCAATTGCGTTTCCATATATATTCCATTAACTGCGATGAAAAAGTAAACCTGAGACTGAAAATACGAGACAACTAATAGTAGAAACGGTTGGCGCATCGGTTGTGGCTTGGAATACCAACCTTGAGGTCAGGGGTTTGAAACTCTCGCTGTGCAAGACGCTTGTGTCTTTGGGCAAGCACTTTATCTACGTTTATCTTTCTCTACCCAGGAGCATAAATGGGTACCTGGTATGGGATGTTGTGGCATTGAGTTGTACTAGTTTTGTGCGCTAATAAGTAGCGAATGACTAGGTATACTCCCCAGGGAGCAGAGAAGGTTGCACTTTGTGCTGGTTTGCCAATGTATGTTATCCAGTGACCAGAGGTAATAACGCTCAGCACCTTTGATCATTCGTTGGAATTGGCGTTATATAAATATTAGGGTATTATTATTACTATTAACACTGAACCAAATCATCAAGGATCTTTCGATTCACATGAAGACAAGTGCGTAGAATGGATTCACTCATCAGTACTCTGCACAGTGTAACGACAACGAGAATTCTACCGATCCTGATTAGGCTACACCAATCCAATCAGTGCTTCTAACTTGCAGTACTAATGCTTAGCTAATGGTTAGTTCCCAATTAGGATCAGAGTGCACTATTCTAAACCAGGCCACCATGATTAACTTGAATTTCAAATATATTGCTGTCATCTGCAAAACATATTAATTTTGTTAACCACTTAATTAGTTGGTGCCCAGCAGCTATTAATTATATAAATGGATTGAAAGTACAGTACATGTACATCCCATTTTTCATTCTAAGATAAATACAGTTACCTTGCAGTAACACTAATCAACTTGCGTTCATCAATAATAATCACAATCAATTACATAAAAAAATATATGAAAATAGCATTAAGTGACCCAATAAAGGTTCGAAATGTTGAATCATGGCCTCCCACTGTTTGCTAGGTGTCATATTCGTTTTATGCTATTTTAAGATAATCAGTGCATCTGTTAGTCTTTGAAAGTCATTATACTGAATTACTGCTGTTCAAATGTGATGGAAATGTAGTGTAAACATTATCATAACCAACTTACTTGACAGTGCTGCAATAACAACATTAAAATTGTTCTTCAAACATAAAGATATTTCTTTTGAGGTGTGCTTTTAACTTTACGTTGGTACTGAGATTAAATTGTGGTCAATTTTAAATCAGATGTGAACAATGGTATTTTTATAAATTGTTGTTTTCTCCTTTCAAGCCGCATGATTAAATTATAGAGATTTTAAACATTGATTGGTGGCATGTGTCCTTTTTTCGTTTTTTTCCCCTGCTGCATCCATATGTTTTATCAATGTAATAAAAAAATATAACAAACAAAATATTTCTCTTTGAATATACTGTATATATAAATTCTATATACGCAATATTAATAAGCAAACCATTGTTTTTCCATGTAACAACATTTTTTTTCTTTCTCAAATTCAATAAATTCAATTTTATATCCTGATTTATAAAATGAATTACACTCACTTTTATACTCTAAAACTCAAAATTTTACAATGTAATATCTTGCATGAAGTAAGGCTTGAGTTAAAACAGTAAGTTAGTTTTCAAAATGATTGACAATAATAAATCCAGTTATTGTTTATTATTCCATCACGACAATAACAATTACTATCAACACTGCAGTACCCGCTACTTACTTGGACTCGAATTCAACCCTGGCCATCAGGCGCAAGCTCGGTGGTCTAGAAGTATGATGCCAGGCTAGTGATCTGGAGATCGTGGGTTCGAGTCCCACCTGAGAACAAATTGCGATTTTTTTCGCAGTTGTTTTCAAATGTACTGAGTATTCGGTACATTTCCACGTCAGGTAGGGCAAAAATTACACCTATACATATTTCTCCTGACGCAAATCCAGTTATTGTTTATTATTCCATCACGACAATAACAATTACTACCAATAATAAATCCACACATCAAGTTTGTGATAGATATATGAATTTGTCAATATTTGGGTGTGATATGACACTCAATGTCAAATTATGAAACATGGTAGGCTCAGCACCTTGACCTCTGATGATGAGTGCACAAAATTTAATACAAACTCGTAAAATATAATAATGAGCCATTATTATATTTTTTTAGGTACATTTCTGAGTCACCTCGGATCTTTTTGCTTTTCTTCTTTCTTCCTGAATCTTTTATTATATTTTTATTATATAAAAATATTTAACACTAACATTATATTATTTACTTTATTTTTCCTCTAAACTAGGCCTAAACCTATACTATATAATCTTTTGTTTTTACATTAAAAATGCGTGCAATATAAATATTCATATTTATGTTATACACTATCATCATATACAACTAATAGATAAGATTATTTGAAACATAGATGTAGTATTTCTTACTTAATGTTTTAAACATAAATATTAATAATGTAAATATATATGGTATACCTAGGCCTATATATAATTTATGCCTTTCTCTAGTTCGTAGACCTTTGACCAGGCTGGTATTCCAAGCTTAGGTGATATACATCTGAAGGGTCTGAAATACAGTAAGTCACAAGCATTGCAATATTAGGGACAATATATTGTTAATAGTTGAAGTAAATAAGTAAGATTAAGATTAGGTTGGGTTACAAGTTTTTACTCCTGGTGTTCTTACCACGCATACTTGTACAGATTTAGGATATTCAAATAAGGAAGGTGGGCAAAGGTCTATGAAAGAGGGGGAGGGGGCCTGACATGAACCAAAGGACCTAAGGGTAGAGCCCTGGTGGGAGTGCAGGGTGCTAAGCAAATGCTAAGATGGGTCTAGTGGGATGTGGCCCGGTCCCACATGAAACAAATATGGTAATGTAGTAAGTGTTAAAGGATGCAATCACAATACTGTAATTATATTAGGTATTTCTCAACTTTTACCCAACTGATTATTAATAGCTGTCTGTAAACATAGGTTGAGCCTGACCATTGTTTTTTAATGTATTTGCTATTTGGTGCAATATATATCCGATTTGATTGATTACATATAGTTTCTGTAAAATGTATGGGGCAATATAAGCCTGGTCATGAAAAACAAAATGCAAAATTACAAAGCTTAGACAAATTAAAAAAAATATTATATTAGGCTTGTTCCCTAGCTGCCAGATAACGTACACTTGCAGGCCATAAATGGCCAGTGGGTCACCAGTTTAGAAACAATGGTTTAGAACATGTTATGCCCAATTTTTTATTCTCATAGCAGGTAGGTTAAGCGTGGCCTGAGCTATGGTAAAGCATTCCCACCTCCCCTACTATTGTCAATGGTTTCTTTTTCCTGTTTTAGAACTAAGCAAAGTTTAGCTTTAGTTGTAAATTGCTACAATATAATAACTATTATTATTTATGTCATTTATATAGCACCTTTTCTTTGCAGATACAAAGCACTTCCTTTCCCTGGTCATTGGTTCCACATGCTTTAATCGTTGCTGCTGGTAAACAGCGCAGGAGCAGGCAACCTCACCAGGCACCCATTTACACTCCTGGGTGGAGATGGAGAGAAGCAATGTAGATAAAGTGCCTTGCTCAAGGACACAATCGAAATGCACGGAGAGTGACTGAAACCCTGACCTCGAGGTTGGGAAACCAAACCGTTCCCACTGCGCCAAACCGCTTCTAATTGTTTTGTTTTGTTTTTTTTTGTTTTTTTTTTTCTTTTCAGTCCCACCCATGCTAGAATGGATTAATTACGGACTTCAAATTGATTGATTGATTTTGATTGATTACTTCCATTTATAAGTTGTCTTTACCTTGCATTATGTTATACAAAACAACTGAATTGCAGACTGTTATGAAGCAAAAAATATAATAATTATAATAATTATAAAACTTAATTTATATATTGTACATTGTAAAAAAAAAAAACCTTGAACTTTAATAAAGTACCAGCTTAAGGCAAAGAGACCTTTGTATTATCTTTGACTTGTAAGGGTAATTCAATTAACTTATATATATTTATGCATTTTTCTTTTAATTTTGTTTTGTAATATAATGTAGTTTAAGATAATACCCTGGGCCTCAGGGAAGAACTGTGTAACAATATTGACTGAGTGTCCAAAATAAAGAAAGATTTCTATCTATCTATCTAACTTATGCTGAGGCAACTTTATGTTCAGATATTGCAGGAATAGCAGTATGATGGGTGCCAGTAGCTTCTACCGTGGGATGCCAACAGATCTACTACCACGCACTGCTGGAGACAGATTAATATGGCAACCTTGAATATCATTAACAAAACGCATGTTAATTATCCAGTGATAATATGTTTTAAGAGTTAACTTATTTGAATAAAATATTCATGGTTTATAATATATTAATATAGAGGGCAGCACATACTATATCCACACCAAAATGAAGACAGCAGTCAACTGCTACTTTTAGTTCAGAACAATTATTTTCATTGAATTTAATCTTTGTTTCTCATTCTCATCCAACAGTGTTTAACCACTATTTCCAGGGTGGAAGTGATGCTCTGTATGAGGCTTAGGGAATGGAGCTGTTTGTAGTAATGAGAAAATCCAGGGCTCTGGGATAAGGAAATCAAGTTAATAATAATAATAATAATAAAAATAATAATAATAATAATAATGTCATCTTATTAGGCGCACATATCCATCTCTTGGAAGAGCTGCTCGCGGCGCCGTTATACCCAATCCCCACGTCACCAAATGTAACAATTTTGAACAAGGATTGCTGCATTGTGAAAGTGGTTTCATGTATCAACCTTCAGAGATATCACAAAAGTTTTCTATGAGGTTAAACTCTGCTGATTCGTTGCTGACAAATAGGGGACAGGTACGATTACTGTAGCAACAGTGTAGCCATTTTATGGAAACATGGATATTACACCGTTACGAGCAAAAAATGATTATCTTGGTGATTCTTGTAAAAACTTATTACATTCCGATAACATGTGATCTAAGCTACAGCTTCTTTTGGCTGATTTCATCACGTGAAGTCAGTTATAAAATTCAATGGCCTTAATGTTTAGACATCAAAAGACATAATATTTAAATGCAATAATAACAAGCAAAGTAAACTAAACATTAAGGTCAGTAAATTAAAAAAAAAAAAATTGAGATCAATTTTTGCTTTCTTGTTGAAGCTAATAAAGTTGACATCATAGCGTGCAAGATATCACTTGGATTTGACTCTCTTACTTATGATTTATACCAGCATATTCATTTAACAAAACATTGGTGAACTATTTTAGATATTTTTTTTTATTGTTTTCTCATTTGCATAAGGCTTGAATATGAGATAGTATGATTCAAAGTATAGACCTTTAGAACTATGTCTCAAGACTGAGTTGTTTTTTTTATGTAAACGTAAAAGTACAAGCTCGGAAGATAAAATTGCTTTACTAAACCAGGCAAATTGAAAGCAATACTGTACAAAAGAGCACAAAAATGTAGCAGTCAATAAAAGCCAATAATTACTGTGAGGGCTAGAAATACTATGACTAAATACTATGAGGGCAGCAAAATGTATAACCAAAGAACTTATAATTACAAGATAACGTTCTCTGCAATTTCTGCGTGCAAATTCTGTAATGACACAGTGTGAGGCGCCCTCGCACAAAAATGATTACTTTTCAACTGACATCAGAGAGTGTTAAATAAAGATAGTGCAGCATGGCAACAACTAGGGCGCCCTCTCTCAAGTGATTACTTTTTATGCTTCTTTTTACTGAACATTGATGTAGAATGTGAAGTCAGTAGAAGAAGGTATCTTGAGGAGAACAGAAAGAGCCATAATTTGGAAGATGTGTGGTCTGATATAAAGAATACAAGGGAGCTCCTGGATATGTTGGGTCTGGAAGAAACTATAGTGGAAGTGGTAAAAGGAAGTGGATTGAGATGGATGGGTCATGTGCTGAGAAGGGAAGATGATGAACCTATGAAAAGATCATGGGATCTGGAAGTGAATGGCATAAGAGGAAAAGGAAGACTAAAGTTTACATGGAAAGATAAGAAAGAAAGCGGAAGGTTGGTCTATATGAGGAGGATGCTCACGACAGGAAGAAGTGGAAGATGGGAGTGTCATCATGGTGTGAAAGTCAGTACTCTTCACAAGAGGGAAAATGCCGACTCAAATAAATGATGATGATGACGCTTCTATTATTTACGCGTAGAATCACAAAGAGCACTATCTTGTAATTATAAGATCTTTGGTGTAACCTATTACTGTGAGGGCAGAAAACTAACCTGGAAGTATCATTGAAAAAGTGTGGTTTTCTAGCCTGGGTAACAACAACATCAAATATATCCCGCCAATCCTCACCGCATAAGTACTTCATTCCTTGATCTCTGCAAAATCAAACAGTTAAAAAAGTAAAATACAAATAAAGAGGAAAATCCGAATTCACAGGAAGGCATGTATGGGAAATTATCTGAACAATATGCTATAAATTAAACAATATAAAGTGGTACACCTTTTTGGGGGATCGCATCCAATTTATGTTTTGAAGGACCAAAGAAGTAGGTTTCTTTTAGAAACTTGGTATGTGAGTAGCTTAAGAAGACTGCTTTTTGTATTAAAATGTCTTTAACACGTTCGCTGACAAGTATTTTGTAAAAATTCGGCCCCTTATGCCAAAACAAGTTAACATACGAAAACATAATTTTTTTCAAATCATCTCTCATCATAAATCGCCAAAATGGTGTTTCTAATAAACTGACAGGAAAATATTATGGGATGAAGGCAATAGGACAACTTTTTTTATTGGCTGTGCCAAATGCACACCAAAATTTTGCATGGGTTGGTATATGTTTAGAGGTTGCTTCCACACGTGCCATCTGCTATTCTGACAGTAATATATAGATGACAAACATACATAGGTTATTTGCTAATTATATTCTAGGTGTATTTTTTCCGAACTACCAGCCGTAAAGTCTACAGTTTTACAATGAATAACAGTGAAGTAATAAATGCTCGAATGTTACACTGTTTTTGACGAGTATACTCGTCTCTGGCAGCAAATGCATTAGGAGCATATTTCAAGGTGGTTTTCTTCATGTTCATGGCAAAGAAAAGAATGAAGATGTTAGCATGGTGGTTACCATGGAACATTTTCACAGATGATTCGATTATTTTCAAGGGGTGTTTTTGTTAAAGGAACAATGACAATGGCTAGTTTATCACTTACACAAAATGGAAGTGACTATTGGTTATAAGAAACAACTTCTTGCCAGCAGAGTGTAGCCTCTCTAATAATGATGTAATCTGGTTTCCATTCTTTAAATATTTAGCTGAAAAAATGTATAAAAAATAACTAAGTTATTATTAATTAAGTAAAAATTACGTAATTTCATAATTTTGGTGAGCATGAATTCATCTATTTCTGAAACTAAAACATCCTGAGTTCTCCATTTTTTCTGATTGACCATTTATATTCTTATGTTGTCCATTAGGATATACTGCACGTGCATAATGTTATTATACATAGGACTGTAAATTTACACATATAATAGATAAAACACAAAGGTCATTAGTCAATGAGATGTCCATAGTGTAAAATATTATTATTTAAAAAAATTAATTGAAAACAATGCCATCTTGAGAAGATCAAGAAAAATAAGGTTATGAAAAAAATAAATAAAAAACTATTTTAGACTAGTATCATTGTAAATATTAATAAGTATAAGATGATTAAGTAAAACAAGATTAAGAATATGTGTAACAAAAACAATGATAACAATTACAATAATCAATATACAAAATAACAGTACTGTAATACCAATAACCATAATAGCAATAAGAACAGTTATATAGCAGTATTGGTATACAACTGTCAAGGACTGAACCAACGACATTGAGTTTGGAGGGCAGGCACTCTATATAGCTAAATGCACAGATGAACCACTTACCTGGATTTTCAATTACTTCTTTATGCATTGCACCGGAGTAGTGAACTTGCTTCACTGTATTCTGTTTTGAATAAAATAGATTAGAAAAAAAAACAATTAAAAAGTTTTAATGATTGCTATAAACAAATAAATTTTTTTGAGTTAATGATTTCTTTTTTCTCAAGAATACTGTCAATCATGTGACAATGAAATTATGGCTGGCAATCATCCTGATTCCAGTTAAAAATGTAAAGATTCTGATCAATCAATCCCTGTGATTGGCTATTTGATGATACCATGGCCTAATGTACACATAGATGCACCACCTGAAAGTAAGAATTAACTAAAGAGTGCAGATCACATGACCATATAGAATAGCCAATTATTAAAGAGAATTTAGAGCAGAGTTTTGATAAAATACTCACATGAATATCATCAAAAAGGTTGCCAGGACAGTAATCAATATTGCAATTTTCCAAATACTGAAAAAATAAAAGGAAAGAAGTATGTCATTACTGATAGAAGCTAAAAAAATAATGATAATGATTAATGAAAAAGATGATGATAAAGATTATTAAAAGTATCATAATTATGATGATAATACCGATTATAAAGATAATACTGATTTGAGAAGATGATGATGAAGATGATGAAGATTTTTTTATTCCTTGTTTCCGTACTTATTTTTTCAAAGATTATCGGAGGAGGGTGGAATAAAAATAAAAATAAAATTTTGTTTTCTTATTTAGCAAATGGTTTTGCCAAAACCATCCAAACAGAGTTGAAAATAAAAAAAATTTTATTGGTAAATGTAAAATAGGATGGTTAAATGCTTAAAATTTATATAATTAAGAAAATAATATACTTATATTATTTTTGGAGATTTCAAGACAGCGGAGGGCATGAAAATAAAGGAAAAAATTTTATTTTTTTCTAAAATTGCCACTTTTTCATGGCGGCGGGTGTGCTAATTGTCCAAAAATAAAATTATATTTTTATTCTGAATCATCAATATTTGCAGTTGGCGGGTTCGCTTAACAAGGTATAAAAACAGTCTCGCCTAAGGAGCAAAAAATGTTGACAGTGATGTTGATTAAGATGATGATGATGATGATGATGATGGTTACAATGATGAAGATGCTGATGGTTATAAGGAGAAAAAAATGTTAATGGTGTGATGATTATAATTACAGAATGATGATGAAGCTGATGATGATGATGATAAATGGTGATGATACAACATAATAAATAAAGATGAGGACTGTAATGATAATCTCAATGAGCATAGTAACAATAGTGTTAATGTAACATCAGTCATTCAACCAAGTCACTACATACGTCCACCACGTTTGCGAGTAGAGCCATTTCAGGAATAGAAAATACATCCATTAACTGTCTCATGTTATGCCCCTAAAAAAGGAAAGAAATAGTGTAATTGATAAGGGCAAAAACATATATGAAGATTTGAGATATTGATATTATGATAATGGTGATGATGGCGTGGATAACAGAATGTTGAATAAGATGATGATGATGATGATAATGACAGTGATAACGATGATGCTGATGTTGATGATTATGTTGATTGCGCAATAAGGTTGATGATGGTGGTTATGATGAGGATGACAATGGATTATGAGAAAAAGGAAGATGAAAATGGTGAACTACTGTATACTCAATAAATCATAATGATAACATTATTTGCATAATTATTTATACCGAAATATTTTATATTTAACACTTTTAATCCCTATAGTTCCTTTGTGATGCACTGCATGTGCATGTAGACATAACCTGGCTTTTAAATTAAATAATCTTTTGTTTTTGAATGAAGAATGATTCAATGAAAAATCATAAGACTTGATGAAGCCACCTAATGAAAAACACTATCAAAGAAAAACATTCTACCTTGCCATGAAATGAACTCATGTATGTTACAGGAATGTGGACACTTCCATATTCCTCTAAAACCTCCTCATTACTTAACTGTCTGTGACCTCTGGAAAAATGCAAACATGATGAATTTTGTGAATTTGTGGTTAGTGATATTTTGACTGCCAGAAAAGCAGGAGTAAAAGCTGGAATATATACTGCAAATTAAACATTTTCCTCTCAAAATGCATAAAAAAAGTGCATTTTCAGGCTGATACAATTACTTTTTGGTAAGGACCAAATCCACCATCCAAACAACCAGTTTAGACTACTTGGCCACCCCCACTGGTACAATAGTAATATGACCTGGTAACAGTAGAGCAGTTGAAGTAGCAAAAGCAATAGCAGATAGCACCTAGAAGCAAGAGTAGCAGTACCATTAACAGTATCATCATTAGTAGAAGTACTAGCAACAGCAGCATCAGCACTAGTAAGAGTACTGTAGATGCAGCAGTAGCAGACTAGCAGGTGTGTCCTGGATCAGCTTTTGATTTCCAGCATTTTTTGTGTAGCAAAAACTGCTATGCACTTTTTGTGTTGTGTAGCAATTCCAAAAATTGTGCATAGCATTTTTTTCTGCAGTGATAGTGAATGATTATTAAAGAAAAGAAATGACACATTTTTCAATAAGAAAATCATAGTGATGCATCTTTTTTTTTCAACACTAAAAGTATTTAAGTAAAACAATGGTTTATGTACATGTAGGGAGCATTGTATGTGTGAATTCGATGTAAACAAAAGCATACTGTATTGCGCTATTTTTGGCCCAAAACATTAGATAACAACTTGATTTTGACTGTTTTCAAAAAAAATACTCTTTTGTGCACCAAGCCTCTTAGTTTTTACAGCCAGGCCTTGCTGAAAACTGAGTGGTTAATTATAGGAAAATAATTGCATCGTATTTGTTTGTGATGCATTTGTGGAAGTGCCTTGCAATTAGTGTAAAACGCGTCAAATTTTGCGATGCGATACTGGGTAAATGGAATGCTGTCCTGGAGTCTCCTGGAAATCGGCATGGTCTCATGCATCCTGAAATTGACAGCAAGCGAAAACTTCCTGTAAAAACCTCTCACAAATTGTTGACGTTGATATGAATCTTTTACTATTTCATCAGTTATCTCCCAGGACACTATGGGCCAACTCCAAAAAAATTGGCCAACAGGGGGTCTGACATGTCTGACAGGGAGGGGGGGCAAAAGCAAAGGGCCAACTAAGTTCCTCGGTGAGTGTCCAGGAATAAAAATCTCAAGAAGAATAATGTAATCAAAATATTAATTATATGCATTAAGGAAGCTCTTTAAGGTCTCCGTGAAGTGGCTAATCATATTTTAGGACCATTGTTCTAGTAGTTAGTAGAAATGGTAGTTTTTAGTAAATTTAATGCAGAGTAAAATCACATTTAAAATAATTATACATACTTAAAGACGGATCCAAATTGAATCCTATGAAAGGCATCTATCTTCAGAAGCAGTCCCTGAAAACAATCAAAATTATCATTAAAAATTTAATACAAGATGAATTGAATACCGGGGTAATAGAAAATGATTTTCACAATCTTGATAACTTGTGCAATGCTATGATTGAAAAATATCATGTTTATATTGGAAGCAGCAGCGCAACAGAGGCCTGGGACGTCTTCGGCCTCTAATACCCTGGGGGTTGGGTTCGGGTAGCCCAGTGTGTTATAAGAAAAAAGCCCAATCGTTTCAGTGTTTACGACAATGTAAGAGGAAATTTTCTGCTCCTTAAAAGGCCCTGCTCGGTCAGTTTGAGACAAAAAAATGCTAATATATATCACAGCGCCATATAAAACATTAACAAACTGTTAACAAATATTCAATTTATGGGAAAATGGTGTTTTTATCACAGGGGTGCATTAAAAAAAATTATTAAAAATATAGGCTTATGCTACTCTCTTAAGATTTTGTTTCTTTCATTTCCTTTTTGGTCTTTTATTTCTCCTGTTTCTTTTGCCTAATATATGCGCTGTATAACAAGGTAAAATAATAATACTTCTTATACTAACCTTATGAATATCATAATGTAAGCCTCTGATAGCAAAGTTGGGGTCATAGGGTACATCTTTTATTCCTGGAGGGAACTATAAAGAATAATAAAAAATTAATGAACAAAAAATAATATAACTACAGTTTTATGTGAAACTTTTAAGCTCCTTGCGCTGAACCGCTGAAATCTCTTGGTCCCCGGTTCAATTCCCATTGCTGCCTCTCCTTGTGTTTCAGCTGGAGGGCTGAAATACAAGTTATAATAGTGCACCGTCTTTCGGATGAGACATTTAAGCTGTTGGTCCCGTGTGCATTTATGGCCCATGTGCATATTAAAAAAAGCAGTACATTCTTCGGAAAAGAGTAGTAAGAATTTAAATACAAAATTATGGCATGTTACAAAAGTAAGGCAATGAACAACATAAAAATGTACAATGTGAATATAAGCAAGGACTTTTAAAATAGTTATGTATAGACACAATCCATGCAAGAAGTTTAAATTTTAGTACCAGTTTAGTTTCCAGCAGAATTTGCAATGCCATCTGGTAAATAAGCTGATCCAGCTCAACGGTGTAATCTGCAAGCGTGTAGTCATAGTCAAAGCCATAGATATTGATGTCACCAAGATTAATCTCATTGTTTGAAAAAACACCTTTGGCATTAATTTTATGCAAATCACTCTTCGCTAGAAAAGAAACAAATATTACTGTTAAGAATTTAGTTCAAGGAAAAATAGCATTAGCAAAACGGCAGGTGTCTCAAATCTCTTGGATATTGAGACGGTCTCCCACACTCCCCCGCAAGACAGCAAAAAATCTCGCAAAAACAAACCCATCTCCCACAAATTCATTATACAGTAGAACTACTCCTTTAAGTTGGGAAATTTTTTCGACCAAAAAACGAGGGAATGTATATCTTTAACACTATGGCCAACACCCCCCACCCCACCCATTCAGGGGATAATAGGGGTTCTATTATGGTTTTTATATTATCAATTGTCTCCCAGATGTTAGCTGGTGATGTATTAAGAAAGCTCAATTAACCAGATCACCCGGAAGTGGCTTCTTCCAACTTGGGACCCCAGAAATGGAAATTTTGTAAACAGGGGTGTCACCATTTTGTAATCTGAACTTTTCGAAAGCTAAATGTCTCTATTACAAAAAGTGGGTTATGGAATGTCCATGACAGAGTTACAAAGCGTCTCTGGGTTCCTGGATATAGAAAGTCTACCACCCATTCAAACAATCAAGTCACACTATGCCAAACTTGGAAACAAACATTACTACCATACAGTACTCCAGTATTATTTTCTGCAGACACAACAAGCAACAACTAAGCTGTAAATCCACACATGTCATTATAAATATAATAATTAAATCGTATTATTTATTTTCAGATATTTGTACGTCAAATAATTTAATTAATTCAGTTCTATATATACTATATAATAATTATCAGATATTGTCAAATATTAATTACTTTTAAAGTTATTTATTTATTTATTTCATTTCATCTCATCAGCAAAATCATTGCAGAAATCAGTTTGCACATTTCAGGACATAAGAGCTGATTTCCATGCAGATTTTGCAGAAAATTAAGATTTGACGTAATCTTAATATAAATAATGTATTATGCAATAATCAGGATTCTGCGCACCTAATTTCCTGGTAATTTTCCATGCAATTAAAACAATTTACAGTATGGGGCCTGGGCCTACAGTAGAAGAAATGAAAATGATGGTAGCAATAGTTTTCAAATAATACGCCTTTTCCATGCTGCGGTAGACATGTTCGATCGATGACAAACAATGCTGAGCAGCGAAGCGTAACCAACAGAAATAACATAGCGTTTCGGTCATATTTTCAGAGGTCATGTGACTCAAAAAATCATATATCCTTAACTGAGGGTTGTATCAACATAATTTTTTCTTTAAAATATTGGCAAAGGACATATACGTACTGTATGAATAAAAGAAAATTTGTTTAGTTTGTCAAAACATTACTGAAAATAGAAGACCAATTTTGTATAGTGAGTCTTGCCATTATTTCAATTAGGTTTTGAGACAGACTAAAAAAAATTTTGTTTTATTCATACAGTACGTAGATATATTCTTTGCGAACACTTTAAAGAAAAAATTCTGTTATACGACTCTCTGTTAAAGAGTAGTCATTCTTTAAGTAATATGATGTCCGAAAATATGGCCGGCACTCTATGATTTATTGTTAAAATAGGTCAAACAGTGGAACAATGGCAACACACACTATACAAAATCAGTCTTCCATTTTCCAGTTTTGACAAACTAAACAAATTGTTAATTTTTTTATATTCAAACGGCATGTAGATATATCCTTTGCGAACATTTTAAAGAAAAAACCATGGTGTAACTCATGTTGTCTGTGCTTGTTCTTTGCTGTTTCCTTTATTGTCAATTTTAATGTCTTGAGACGAATAAATGAAATGAAAATGAAATACTTTTAATAATTATTCCATGTTTTAAATTAGGCCTAGTAGTCTTGGTAAATCAGATCACCAGCTCGCGCCCACCCCCCACACACTCCTCCTCTCATGACGGCAATGCATGATTTCACCCGTCCACTGGGCCAGTCTAGGCGGGATTACCGGGATATGACTTCTTTGGCCGCCGACACATTCGGCCGCGCGAGATTTATATGGCCCAACTGGCGCATTTCTCCACACCACATGCTGTGGCGGCGTATGCCTACCTTTAAGCCTTTGCTAAACTAAATAATTGCTGTCATGTCGCACAGTAATATTTACGTATTTATTTTTGGTATTGTATGTATATAATAATTGCTTTCATGTACAGTATTATTTACTTACCTATTTCAGGTATGTGGATTTCTATTGAAGCATTTGGCCTACTACTATTATTAGTATTTCATTTATTGTAAATAAAAATTTTAAGTGTCTTACATTGAAGAATTGTAAAGCTTCAGTATTTTATTTGTTTTACAGAACAGTATTGTTATTCATTATACAATTTGAAACTGTAGGCCTATTCATTGTACAGTAATTCATATTTCCAGTATAACTATAAGCTCCAGTATTTTATTTATTTTAAAGTACAGTATCTTTATTCATTAATTTGAAACTGTATTCATTGTACAGTAATTCATCATAAATTAAAAGGTCTCTCCCTCCAGTATGTGATTTGTTAATAAGACTGGAACTTACATTTTCGGCTGACATTCAACATTTAAGAAAGAAAAGCAAATTTCAACATAAGGTAATGTTTATTCACAAATATAATTATTCAGTGTACAGTTTTATGCATTTATACAAGCAATGATGTTTACCTTTAACAATTATTATCGTGAAAATGTTTAAAAATCTTGCTAATATGTTACTTGTGTTAACCATGGTGTAAGTGGCGGCGCAAAGTTTGCCATGTTTAATTCGTTACGATTTTTTCACACTATTACTATTAATTTTTGCGACATGTTCTGTGTGTATAGGCCTATCTGTAACAATGTAAGCTGGAGTGTTTCTGAATTTGAGGTTAAGAATTGAATAGATATAATAGTGCTTATTCAACCACTGTATATCAGCGTGACAAACAACAGCGCGCATTCAACCTCCAATCGGCAAAGCACTCAAAGGGCGCTCCATACATTTTGGTGTTTGACAGGGCGCGGCCGAAGGTGTCGGCGGCCGAAGTTGGCCTAAAGCGGCTAGCAATGCTTAGCATCAGACTTTTGTTTTGTTAATACTAGGCTATAACAATAGCTAAGACCAGGACTCAGGCTATAGCTGCAGTCTGCAGGGGTGCTCTGCGGTTCCGGGTCATTTTGGCCTTGAGTCGATTCGGCTGGGTCGATAATAATAATACTAACAATAATAATATTAATAATAATAATAATAATAATAATAATAATAATAATAATAATAATAATGAGTTTCATGTTTAACAAACGGTAGGCCTATACTGCTTAGCCACCTTGTGTTCTATATTCGCGGCCGCAATTTCGGCGCTCCATACACCGCGGCCGAAATGCATGACAAAAATACAAACTCAGGGCCGAAACGACCTGGGCCGAAACGACTCGGGCCGAAAGGATCCGAGGCCGAATCGACTCAGAGCCGAAACGACTTTAAACCGTGCTCTGCAGGCTAGGCCTGCCTACCTACCTACCTAACTGTTCACAATAGTTTTTCGACGATTTATAAAGACGCCAAAGATCACCGCTTGTAACATTTGAATCGTTACTCTTAAAGACACTTGAATCATGATGAAAATGAGAACTACATCCTCTAGCTTTAGTGAAACAATGTTTACAAAAACTGACACCAATTTTCGTAATGCTTCTCATGGGCGCCGCCATATTATTATTATATTATCATAAAATTTAATTTAAGATATAATAAAACAATTGAATATTTAATTTTAGTTACCATAAATATATTTAAATAAAATTAATAAACTGCTAAATATTTAAATAACTATGATGTATAGCTGAAAGAGGTATAATATACTATAAAATATATAATAGTAAATACATTTTTTATTACAAATTTTTTTCTTACATTGAAGGTCAAAACTAACCAATCACATCACAACACATCTGGTAGAGAAAGTTCAAGGGCCTACTCATTTAATTCGACGTGTGTGTGTTTCGCGACAACTTTAATATTTGTAACTTTTCTTATGAGTGGCATACGGATTGGAGGAGGAGAAGCAACTGCTTGTTACTTCTTTACGTCGTGTCAGGAACTCGGTGCTTCTACGTAGTTAAGCAAGATGATAAACATTTATAATTGTATTTCATGGTTCCCAATTCTGCTAGTAACCATTGGTCTTGGGCAAGATAAAGGTAGGCGGGCCTAGGCCTAGTTACTTTCTTCTCCTGGCGAATCTAGTACTAGTAGGCCTAGGCTACCACCACTACTGCCAGCCCATTTGACCAGCCAGTGCAGTGCCACCTAATGAATGAACCTTCATCATTGATCCAGAAACTAGCCCTAGCCCTAGTAGTAATAGGGCCAGTAGGCTAGGAGGAGGAGGGTCTTCATTATGATTTAGTATACTGTAGTATATTGTAACGATAATGATTATGTTTTGACCTTGGAAGGCTTGGTGCAATCTTTTTTCTCTTTTTGATGTTTTTGTTATGATGTCCTTTTTGATTTGTATTATTTTTCTTAACTATAATAATAATGACAATTATAATAATTATAATAACTAGATTTGAACTCGTCACTGAGGACGAGTTAGGTGATCCGCCGCACTTTGACCCACGAGGAAGTGTGTGCGTGGCGGATTGAACAATAATTAAATGCTGATAAATGCAAAATACGCTAATTTAGTTTGTTAAAAAAGAATTTTGAGCATTTTAAAAGATTTACTCATGCGTATGCGCACGTCGTGACGCACGTGCGCATCTTAATGTCACTGTTGTCTTTTGATATGAGCTATATATGTATCAACTTTCATTGACAAACGCCTATTGGTGAAGGAGTAATGATCATTCATAGTATTTATCATATAAAAATTCAGTTTTTTCCAGTTTTTTTTACTTCAGGATGGCAATATGGTGACGTCACAATGTCCGATCAGCTATTATGATATATAATATCATATCTACAACTCATGTGCTTTTAGAATATGTAATAAAAATTGGGGGTCACCTTTCATTTTAGGGAGCTATATTTGATTATAAATAGGCATAATTATTAGCATATGTAATATTTGTCGCACGCGTACGCGCACGTTAAGACGCGCAAACAAAAAAGTAAGATACCTAACATTCAAACTTGATCTGAAGTATAAGCCCATTTAATATTATTCAGAAATGACGAATGGCTAAGATGATATGACGTCATCAACGTTTTGAGAAAAGAAATATAATTTTTTCTTGTTTTTTAATTCAGATGGCAATATGATGACGTCACAATGTCCGATCAGCCATTATGACCTATAAAATCGTATTTGCAACTCATCTGCTTTCAGAATATGTAATAAAAGTTAGGGGTCACCTTTCATCCTAAGGAGCTATAACTGATTTTAAAAAAGACATGATATAAAGCATATATTATTTTTGACGCACGCGTACGCTCGCGTTATTACGCGCGCA